TAAATATACTGATCCAATGATATCGTCAGCAACTTGTCGCTGGTAATGAATATTACATGTTTCCAGCGTAAGTCATAGTTAAAATTGGCTTAAACCAGTGGCTCGCATTTATTTGTTATTTATCTGTTTGAACCCATCTTGGTGGAACAGGTTATAAAACAGCGACAACAAAAGTACGAAATTCTACCTGTAATAATCAAGACGAAGAAGTTAAAATCTCGACATGCGATAATCTTATAGGAAATTTCAATTTATGTTTAGGTATTTCAAAGTTATTCTACTTCTTTTTTAAAATTAAAAATAACAATAAGAATTAACAATTGCAAAAGTTGTTCATTTTTTGCTACAAGTTTTATTATAAACTAAGTATATAGTTAATAATTTGCATAGCGTAAATTTCGGGCATTCCTAGATTTTTTTCTATAATAAATTTGTAAAGATAAGAAATTAAATTTATTTGTTTTTGGTTAATTTTAGTAAATTTTATTGCTGAAAGAATATCTTAAAACATTACCTTAATTATTTCACATGCCGTCAGCACCGGATTCGGGGGTGTAAGGGGGCCTCACCATAAGCCTTCCATTTACTATGCTAAAAAATAGTAAATGAAATTTTTCTATACAATTAAATTTTATTGAATTTTATTTAGAATCAATTTTTGAACCAAGTTTATCAACTATGAAGGCTCCCGAAGGTTAGGTAGGATCGAATTACACAAATTTTAATCCAGTCCTGCACACCGTTCCATCAAATATAACAATTATTGACAGCAGTTTTGTGTTTAGAATATCTCAAAAATATGTGGTTTGCAAGAAAATAGAGCGATACAATAAATGGCTATCACAGTCATTGGATCTCAACTTACCTCGTTTTTCCTTTCGGAAAAATGTTTAAATGAACTTTAGAGAAGTATTCAAAAACAGTATCTTACATTAGAAAAAAAGATTTGCGCACATATTTGGAGCGGTCATTAATAGATACAGAATTAAAACAGGCTATTTGTTATTCCTTAACCCTTTCGCCTATGATTTTTTCGATAGTTGTGTCAGTCAAAGCTACTTCAATTTTGAAACAAATAAAGAAAAAGCACCAGCCAATTTTGTCACATTTAAACTGTAAATTGCATCGCGAGTGCGATACGATGGTGTATAGCAAAGGGTTAATTCACATTTACATTATCAAAAGATTGCAAAATCGTTTTTAGGTACATAGGTTTTGTTTTCTTATTGCAGCAACACGTCACACAGGTGACGCTCTAATGATAAGAATTAGCCAGGACCCAGCGTTGCATATCTGTGACGAAAATTACATTTCAGAAAACATGGAACATAATATATGTAAAATTATAAAAATTTGGGATAAGTTTCCGAATGGCCTCACTAAAATTGAGAACTCAGGTTCGGTATATAACCTAAATTGACTATTAGAAACCGATTACAATTGATTTCAGAGCTGGATGTCTTACCGTTTTTGAGATATCGTGGTAAGAAATTTTTGTACAATTTTGGGACTACGTATGCGCTATTCGATACTGCGCATGCGCCATTCAATACTGCGCATGCGCTATTGGATACTGAACATATGCTATTCGATGCTATGCATATACAGAACCTAACTTAACCTAACTTTACCACGATATCTCGTAAACGGTAAGACATCCAACTTTAATAGGTTTCTTGTAGTAAATTTAGGTTATATACCGAATCTGAGTTCTCAATTTTGGTGGGGTTATTCGGAAACACAGCCAAAATTTGATACTTAGACTATGGAACGTGACCGCGGTAGCGATCATGTTAATATAGTGTTCTTAAATGTATATTTATATATAATTCCGCTAATAGTGAACGTAACATAAAATATCTTAAATGGTTTAGGCAACTCTCCCCTACATCTTCCATCGCGCGAATGAAAAAAAATTCCACCGACAGATCGGTCGCGAAGCGTGTTGGCGAGCGGCGAGCGGTATGCGCGGAACCGCTCGGTTGTCGCTTTCGAGGCCATTGCGTCGAGCAATGCAAGGGTGTGTTCGGTCGTCGCCGATTATTTGAATAAAATGCGCCACTACGTCAGCCGTCAGGCGTCCGCGACTCGAAAGCTTTCTCTGCTTCTCCTGCCCCTCGGAGTCTGACCCGAGGGGGGAATAATTTACTCGTGGAACGACAAGTGTGTCGTTGACGGAGGCCCGTTCCCGTCGCTCGCATGCGTATCGAACCGTGCACCGAGTTTTCTCTGTTTCGCCGAGATTCATGAGCCTCGACGGACGTGCCGATTTAGAGCAGGAACGGGCATCAGGACAATCTCACGGAGTAACATGAGCCATTGTAACCCAAACAAACCAGGCTGACGATACAACTATAATATTTTTGTAGTATAGCAAGGAAACGCATTGTTTTAATTTAGATTTCAAAAAATTAAAGTAGTCTTTTAACCCTTTGATAGTTTATCCTGAGCGAGAGTCAAGCACAACGACATATCAAAATTGTTTAAATCTATCAGAATAATTTTCATTTATTAAAAAGGAGGGTGTGGTAAAACTCTATACGTAAGAAAAGTTGACATGATGTCACTGATCAGGTTTGTACATATGATCTAAGGTTCAAGAAAAAAAACAGAAATAAGAACATATACATAGAAAGGGAGCTTAAGAAATAATAATGAGTGTAATGTCATGATAAAGAAATAGGAAACATTAACCCTTGAACAACGAAGCGAAGGTCAATCGGGACCGAAACTTATAAAAGATATATAAGGATATTAATCTAAAGTTAACTGTACAATTTTTAAACGAAAGAAGACTCTTCATGGTCCGCCGTTCGAGGGTAAATTGACTGCATTCTAAAAAAAGAAGAAAAAAAAAAGACAGAACACATGTCAAGGCTTTTTTAATTTCAATGACTACATTCCTATTTTAATTTTCATTTACCAAATTATATTTAAACGTATACTTATTGTTAGTTACATTCTAATATTTTACTTACATCAAAAATGCAAGATAAAGTTCACCAAATATGTATATGAATTGTTTAGATAAGTTATAATAGCAAGCCATCATTCATATTATTAGAAATTCTTTCATTTACTTAATTAGAAATACATCGATTAGGTTCCAGAAATGATAGATAATAAAAGTAACGAGATATTGTGAAAATAATAAATAATAAATAGTAAAAATCGAAATACTACCTGATAAAACTTTTAACAATAATGACAATTAACGATCTCATAAAGATCATCAGCGATGTGATTAACTATCTAGATTTCTTAAATTAGCATCGCTTAGAACTATCAAAAAGTGGTCAATATTTTTTTTTCGACTAGGGCTGCATAGATGATGTCGATTTCTTCTCTGGAAGTACATATTATTTCATTTAGTAATAATCTCTTTAGAGTTTTAACTAGATAAAATATCTACTGTTGCAGTCTAAGAAATATGTTTAACCTTTTCTCTCTGTAGATGGGTTATAACAATTTTTATAGGGTAATAACAATTTTTAATACCTATCTTTTTAAATATGAATAAAATTTCACAAATAGTCACGCAGCTAAAAGTTTTTTTCATATTTTGCACTGAAGATGCATGGGGTATAATTACACATGTGCACGATTAATGTTAAAACATTTGCACACAAAGAGAAGGTTAACAAAACTTGTGCTAGCATTACTTATATCTTATTGAAAATTTGCTCATAATCCAATAAATAATAATAATTCTTGTCTGCGTTCAACAGTGCAAGAATAAGTCCACGGCAAGTTCCGCTTAGGAGATAACCCTTTACAGGGTTAATTATTCTTAAGTATATATCACCGATTTTTAAAAGAAAATCTTAAGACATGGACGAACGATATAATCAGAAGCATTGTAAACATGTTTTATCCGGGTAACCGGCAGCCACTAAAGCGCAAATACCTTGGCAACCTTGGCCGGTAGGGACTTCAGGCCTAATTAATTAAAATTAGGGCCTGTATCCTACAAGAGGGCCTGTCACGTCATTAATCTCCCGGTAACAATTTAAGTCCCATTTTGCCCTTGCTGGTAATGCACAAATTATTTGTATAAGATATTTTGAGAAATTTTCAATTAATATAACAAAACGAAGGTAGACATTTTACTCTATAACGCGAAACTTATGTTTGTTATCCTGCCCAATGCACTTTTCTCATATCAGGCTCTAATTAACCCTTTGACTGCTGAATCAAGTCAATAACACATCACTTTTCTTTTTATTCCATTTCATTTCTCAGTTTATTCTCTCATTTTGTTTCTTTTTCAGTATTTTGTCATATTATTATAATGTGATAACATATGATGTGTAATTAGTAATATGCGTTGATAACTTTTATTTGATTATAATTAGGATGTACAAGCTAACGGTCTGCACCGATAATTTTCATCGGACGCATATGTGCGTCCATATCAGTCAAAGGGTTAATCCTATGAAGACTAAGTATTTCTAAGCTTGACGCAGTGCGTATACGGAGTATTATCAATTTATGTAAATTAATTAATAATCCTATCCTCCAAAGTGTATACATATATGTACATATAATAAATATCTACTGTCCGTACTGTCTTCTGCTAACAAGAAGTCCCATGAAAATAACGCGATCTGATTGGTTGCGGCCCATTTCAGCTCACTCGTGACGTCGATCGCAATGTATTATTGGTCGAAGCGGTCACGGATACGGATCTGGTAGATGTGTGCGTGATATCTTCTCTTACCCCCGTGCCGTCCTACAAGACTTCTTGTGAACGGAGGACAGTACCAGCCCTCCAAACTCCCGTATTTCGTGCTGTAACGCAAATTAGTTCGTGCTCAGGAATACTTGGAGCGCTGATGTCGCTATGAATCTATATAGTTACTTACATTATATCGGTAGGACATCTAACCTTAGATAAGGCACGCAAGAACATGGTTCTTACATATGTGCTATGTGCTATTATTTAGTTCAAAATTTATTTAAATAATAAAAATACTTAAAGGGAACAAATAAAGACTGTATTTAGGAAAATAATGATATTTATTACATTAATACATTGTTATTTAAATTTGAATCAAATATAAGAAAAGAAGGCAATCCACAAAGTCATACTGGCACTCTGCAATAACTTTTGCTTTGTAGACATCCCTGAATGTTACGTGTCATCTCTACTGAAAACACAGGATATTGATTAAACATGGTAGTTTACAATGAATTGTAAGAAAAATGATAAAACCAAAAGTAATATTATTTTAAAAAATTAACCTTTGGATGATTTAAGAAGTATTTTATGTATTTAACTATTTATGACATCAGTAGATCACTGTAGAAAATTCCACTGTAATCAATTAATTCACTGAAAACTCAGTCGGTTGGTCTACTAAAGAAGTCATAACAAAAATTCTAAGAGGAACATGATGTCACAAAATCTTAAGTAGTGTGCAAAATTGACAAGAGATGCGTGTAAAAAAACGACATCAGCGCTGCAAGTATATCCGCGCACGAACTAAAACCCGCATAAAATTCACAAGAGTAGAGTTTTAAGGGGCTGGACAGTACTTATAGCTATGATTTGTATCAAGCACGTAACACAATTACAGCTACTATAATGATTATATATGGATGCAAAGGGTTGCTATCAATTTCAACTAATTACTTTGATAGTATTGTTTCTTTTATATTAATAAATGTACTTTCGACAAATGATTTATACATCTAATGCTAATATATTACGGTACATTGTACATAAGAAAAAACCAGCTTTCATACTGTGACTGTAACGTGTCTGAATATTATTATAATGATCCTTAAAATGTACGATCCGCGTGTATATTAGTGGCGAGACCTTCGATGACACCGACAGGATTTAATATTTCCGATACGACACAAGCTCATTGCATTTGCAGTTGGAAACTGCTTCCTCTACTCTTGGTACAATCACCCCATATGAATCATTAAAGAAACAATGCTGAAGGCAGTGGCGTATCTATCATATGCGTGGGTGGTGCAGCTGCACCGACGCTGGCTGAACCTGAGGAATCTTGACCGTGAGTTTTTATAGTTTTTTCATTGCCTCGCAATAATCTACCTGAAATTCAGACTTTGCAATGCAATTAAGAAACTGTTTTTGTTGTCTCTGTTGTTGCCATCAACTCATTTCGTTCTTAAGAAATTGGTGGGATTAAATGACGAAGCGTTTCAAGGCTTTAAAAATTCTTTAAATCGTTACAGCTTAAAATTGTAGAATCAAATGAAAGTAAAAAAAATTAGATATTAGGCTTGTAATATTACCAGTTAAGTTTGCATAAATTCTTATAGAAGAGGGTTTTAGAAGAGGACGAAAAAGAATGCTTTATGTTATTTTTTAATTTGGGAAATTCCACGCAAAATGTATTAAAAAATTAATTTGTGGAAAAAAAACATGTATATAATTCCATTAGAAAATCAAGAGTTACTGTGAAATCTTGAAATTTTTCCTTGAAATATAATAACTTCCTATCGAAACATTTTTCTTTATGTCTTCACAAATAACATAATATTATAATTACGGGTGGTCGAAGTAGTTAAGACACTCTGAGTATAAGAGAAACGACGATTTTTATCATTGAGAGGAAGAATGAAAAGTATACATATACATATGTACCCCAGCAACTTTCAAGCCCAGTAGTGAGAAATAAATTTCACCACATTGTTAAGCGTCTGTTCGAAAGCAATTGATACAAGAATCATGTAGGCAGCCTTACACTCGCAATATTTGCATAAAATATGCATGTATTTATGCACATATCATACATTCTTTTTTATCACTTCTTCATATACACTTGGACGTGTGCTGAAAGATATTTGCATTTAACACAGAACGATGTAATTTACATTCATGGATAATAATTCGCAAGAAATTTCCAAACATAGAGAAAATCTTTGAACGTGTCACAGGTATCAGGGAACGAAATTATTAGGGGTATGCGGAAACTCGAAAATTTCGGGTACCCGATACTTGGGTCTGGAATTATTTCAGTTGAGCCAGGATTCCCGAAATTTGGAGAACTGTGTTTCGAGACGAATTTTATTAAACATGAACGTGGATTAAGTATTCACAAAAAACTGTATCTAATTTACTCCGAACTGATCAAAACACAATTTCCGACTCGATCGGAGTATTGGGTAGCCGAAACTTTTTAGTTCTCGAGTATCTGTACTTTTGAGAACCCAATTCGACCCGACAAGATATTTCCGGCTTCTTGCATACCTCTAAAAATTATGACAAATATCTTATACTAATTCTATTGTTACATGTTTTGAAAATTACGACTGTAATAAAAATAATGTTTGTAAATGATTTATTGAACTATATTCAATTTATACAATATATCATTCAAAATCAGGAACAAATTTAATGAAAAATGTTAGTAGGTAAATCTGAAATAAACCTGAGAATTTAATAATTCTAATAAATTAGTTATAAATTGTATTAATAAACGAGTTTATTTAAAGTTTGGTATCTCAATTTTATTCAGTAATCTGTTCTTTTCGCTTAATCTAAGTACTTGGTTGGTGTAATATGTTTATTGTGTATGAAAAGAGATTACTCATAATTATTTCTGCATATATTTATAGAACACAAAACTGAATATAAAGTACGCATTTTTTGATAAAATTATTTTTACACAGTTTTGTAAATATAAACAGAAATGCAACTTTTGCTTAAACTTTCCGTCGATATTTCACACTATTCTTGAGATATAGGTACTAAAAAATAAAATTCTGTATTTTTTTAAGAAGTGATTCTACTCTGTAAAACTATGACATCGATATAAATAGGTTTATGTTAGGATAAATATTTTTACCTGTACTTCCCATGATAGTTTTGAACAGAGGAGCCCTGGGTTAACCGTGACCCAAACGTATGTACAACATATATATATATATATATATATATCCAAGGGTTGAGTGGTACAAATCACCCTCCAAATCATATGCGTAGTTGATCTTATTGTTAGTATGTCAGAAGCCATTCAATTCTTGTTAACATATTTTTTACGATTTCTAACTGTTTTCGAATTAGACTATAAGGATCGAACTTTAGTGGATTAGTTTCATTAAACAAACTATTTCTTCCCTGAAACTTGATAAATATTTGTACCTATGTAATTACTTTTGGCTATTTTACAAAGTCTCATCTAAATTAAACCTATTCTTATAAGGAATACTAACAAACTAGATTTTTGCAATCTATTATTAGATTGAAAAGGAGGTTGAACTTTACTTCGGGGCATATATAATTATTGTCTTTTTAAAATGTATTCTGCTAATATTCATCGAGAAAAATTCATATATGCAAATTATAATTTTAAGGATCCATCGGTTCAAAAATGATGTGCATGTAAAACTGAACGTTTTTCGAGGTTAATTTGACGCCATATTAACTTCCATTTATAATCTGATTGGTCCGCGCAGACGAACATTAAAATGCTGTTGAAAAAACTAACCTCGCTTAAGCGGACACGTGCAAGGCACATTTATACATAAAGACATTTGAATTATTTCGCCAAAATGAAATACGAATATTCTAAATTAAATACAAAAAATAAGCATAATTCTATCAATAATCCTTTATCAGTTATATAAAAAGTAACATAAAATTATAAGAATCGAAAGTTTTTTTTAAACGAATGTAAGTAATTTTAATTTAATTTTAAATTAAATTTTTTTAAATGAGTGCAAGTTTTTTCTTTGGAGTGTTAAAATGACACCTTGTATCGATCTCATTTATCGAATGGTATATCTGATTGTCAGTCGAATGCACAGTAGCCGGCTTCCTTCTCGGAGGACTACTAGCAAAAACGTGGTCGCTACTAGCCAGGAAACTTTATTGAATGAAAATGCCGCTACGTTTTTGCCCTACGTCAGCATCTCTCCTCGCGGGGATCCGAATGAAACAATGGCTATTATGTAGAACACTCGCGTGTCCATTATACATATATGCATGCGCACACGTGTGTATTACATGTTTTTAAATTTATACACATCCACGCGTAAGCCTCGTACACAGTCGCACTTACGTAGTATCGTGTTTCGTATATAAATGTAGGCATGCAACAGAGGACAGCTGTTGATACTATTATACCCGGCACGGTCGCATTATGCCTTAAGGACAATCGTGGGAATTCCATTAAGTGGCCTTGAATGGTTCATTCATGTCGATCAACTCTTTTCCTAACGGGGTTGACAGATCAATCGTGGCTCGGGCACGAGCGACCCACGGGATTTCTCCCGCCTTCCTCTCTATCTCCTCCTCGTCCACGACGAAACGGAGACACGCCAAAGTCAATTACCTCGGTTGTGTACGCCGTACGAATCCATCTCCTCCTGTTTCTTGCCGGTGCACTCGCGTTGCTCTGCTATCGAACGAATCGAATGCTATTCCATCCGCGTCGTTTAAGGTCGTCTTTGTTCCCCTTGGATTACCGTTTCGACGCGACGCGACGCGACGGTGTCGACCGACAACGAGCCATGCCAGAACCAGAATAATTGACTTTTGCCTCGTCGGAATATCGTTCGGTAACCTGATCTCCTCCAGTCGATTATATTTTTTTATGTTTATTTTTAAGAAAGAATTCTGTCCGCACACGCGAGTGTGACTGCTGAGATTATTTTCATAAGGAAACTTTGTTTTTGTACAAATGAAATTGTACATATACATACTTATCTATCTTCTATATAAATAAAAATTAAATGCTGTTCGTTGGTAACCGCATCACTTGAGAACGGTTGGACCGATTTGTCTAATTTTTTTTTTTTATGTTCGTAATAGTCTAAATAAGGTTTTTAGGGAAAGAAAAATTGGAAAAGTTGCCCGGAAAAATGGAAAATTCGGGAAAAAATGAGTGCTTTTTTCTATGGGATTTTTGTATGAACTAAAGACCATAACTCACGATTCGAACGATGGATATGTGTAATTCTTTTTTTTTCTCATTTTTACTTTGTTTACACATTTCCAATAGCTTTTCACAAATTCACAAAACGATCACAAACATATTTATTGCAAGGACAGGACAACGTCTGTCGGGTCAGCTAGTTTGGTAATAATTATATCAGGTGGTACCTAAGTACAATTGGACCTAGGTATAAGTTTAACCCATTCACTGACACAGTAGAAGTACATACATATAGTGTGTAATGCAACGTACGATAATATGGATAATTAAAAATGTTTAAAATTAATTTTATCATACAAAATAAAAATATGGTCTTTTTCAAATTATTTTCTTGATCATAATATTTAGAATTATTCTACTGTTTTCATCTCTTAATCATACGAATGATAAATAGTAACTGAGATGAAGATAAATTGCAACGGTGTTATTGTTAGACGGATATAAAATCTATGTAGAATATTTATAATTTTCCTTTCCTTTTTCTATTCAAAATGAAAGTAGATATTAACGTTGTAATTGCAACGTTGAAGGTGGATAAATTTTCATTAAGTAGTATCTTTATTTTTAATAAATCTTACCTATTATCTTCAGGACATTTAATTATTTTTATTATCCATAACTTCAAGTACTTATACTTGTGATTAAATCAAGCTTTTCTAGGAAAAATAGCGATGTCCTAAGTTCTTCTCTTTCCCCATAGTGAACTTAACCATTTACACGGCAAAATTTGAACTGATATTTATTTATTTTTGATATTCATATTTTTCAGTTATACATTAAATTTTATAGTATTTAATATTTAATAATTAATAATTGTATTATTTTTTTTTAAATTACCTGTAATATTAATATCGTCGACATTAGGATCTTGAGAATTCCTGATTCCCTAATGTCGCCATTTTTCTTAGGAAAGCATTTGATCGCGAGTGTACCTAATACAAATATTTTTAATTAACCCTTGAACAGCGGAGCGTACAAGGATGTTAATTTAAAGATAATTAAACGAAAAGGTTTCGTATATTAGAGGAATAACTTTAAAAGAACAGTGTAGCATGTCGAAAATGAAAGTATAATGCAAAATATAATGTTAAATTAAAATTGTGGCTCTCTTTCCATGTTTCTAATAATATAGGTATTGGATTTTTATGAAAATTCAAGTGTAAATATTGAATAGAGTAAAGAATAATAATATAAACATTCAAGTATTGAAATGATGCAGTGATATAATAATTGAATGAAAATTGATTAGTATAGACTTTAGAAGATATTGTAAATTGAATTTGTCAAAATTGCACGTGGACCTATTTTTATGTCCTTAATCGTGTTTATTAACAACTTCATGATGTCTGAAATTAAATTTGAACACAGAATATCTTAATAAATGAATCAGTACTCACGTTTTTCAGATTTAATATCTCTGAATTATGGTTCTATAGTTCTAAAGAGTACGGTGTATTCGTGTACCGAAAAGAGAATATTTTGTTAATTTAAAACGAACGCGTTTCCATAGCACAAAATTTAATTATCGTCTCCTTCGCTCTCGTGCTCTTTTCTTCCTGGGTCAGCATTTTAATTGCGATTTAATAACGTGAGAAATGCTCATGATGTGTGAAATTTAAATTTCCAAAAGCCTAAGAACTCACAATAAATGATTATATCGAGGTTGTATCCGTCATACTAGTTGGTTCAATTATAAAATATAATTCTTACATAACTGTATTTGTATATTTTCATTTATCAAAATTAATCATAGTTTCATTTATTCCTGTATGAAATTCAGGACGTCGTAAATGTTGCTTGAAAGTTTACATTAAGATGCAGGATTTAATTAGTCATTCGAGTGAATAACCTAATAAATAAATACATTTACTAAAGATTTTTGTCTTTGATTATATTATTATACTTTAATTAAAAGAAAGATGTATCATATCGTAAATTTAAAAATAACTGTACATAAAGAAAAATGTGTAATTTAAACAAATTTCTTATAAAAGAATCTTTATTTTGTTACGCATCGGTAAATTTCTCGAGCATTCAATTATTACTGAAAGTGTGTACTAAAAACTGTAGATAACTTAAATGATTCATGATAAAAGGATATCATTTTCGATAAATTAACTCTTATTTTTATTATACGAGTGAGGGGGAAAAAGATTTGTTTTCTGATTGCAAATGATTCAAGTTCACAGGTTAACACGTTGACTGCCCTGCTGGTTATCAGTGATCAGTTTCATTAACATAATTTCACTGAATAATAAGAAAATACTATTAATGTACTAAGGAACTACGACAATAAAAAATATATAGAAATAGCATAGTGAATAGCATATAGAAATAGCACAATTTTAATTTAACTTTGTATTTCATATTATTCTTATTTTCTACATTTTTGATGTATAAATGTATTTTGTTTAAAAATCACGCATTTGATTTTAGGTTAATATTCTTGTATACGTTTTGCAAGTTTGGCCCACAATTGACTCAGGCTCTTTTCAAGGGTTAATAGGGAGGGGTCACCAAACATTTCTGGCCTCTAGTACACTACTGCATGCTTTCACCTTTTTTCTGCAACACAGTCGAGATATTTGATAAAATATTAGATGTATAAATTAATTTGGTGCTTCTATATTTATTTTTTCTTAAATTATATTTTATATTTAAAATTCTCATTCAATTTTCAAGAAGAAACCAAGTAGATTCACCATCTTTTGAATGCCAAAAAAGAACCCCTAATTTATTTGTGCAAGGCTATTTTCAGCCTTGTTTTCAGCCCTACTAGTAAAAGCAAAACACATATAAAACACATATAGTGGTATATTATATCAACTAAAATGACATCAAGATCTTCACGTATCACTTGCATAATATTCCTTATCAGTCTGAATCTCAATCACCTTTGCGTCACATTAGTCCGCGTTAAATCTTTGGAAAATGGAATGAATCGGTTGAATTACCGAGATGCTTGAATACCTCTCAGACTCTGGATCTGTTTCATGCCTGAACGTATCGAAGAAGAACAGTATAATGTGGTTCGCATGACAAACAAGCGAGCATTCGTTCGAGCGAAACGGTACGCAGCTCGCTATTTTATTGGCCGGATGTATTGGTGATTTTACCGTTAACTACTCATCGAAAACAGGATAAAGTTTATATTTCAATAACTTATGTTAATTAATGAATCATAAGTGAAAAGTAAGGTTATAGTTTTAAAGGTAAGAAGATACGAGGTTGTTGGATGTCAAATAGGGAATTCGAAATATAAAAAGTTTACCATAATTTGATGTTTAAAGTTTAACGAAAATGAGTATGTAAATCCTTCTCATAAAAAATTGTAATCTACTTGTTGTTAGTCAAGACATACATGAAGGCATCATTTAAAAGAACTCAAAAACAATTAAAAAAAGTATGCTAGATTATAGAGATATGTGAAGGTACTATTTAATCAAAGTAGTAGTACAAAACAGAATGATTTATTCTATACTGAAAACAAATATCCTAAGTACAACAGAAATTATGTAACAGTGCAATGTAGGTTTCTCATGGGAAAATAGCGTTATAGAGGAAGTAGAAATTCTTAAAATCTTAATTTTGACAATATTTGTATATTAATTATTAAATTTTATAAAATTTAGTATATAATTTAAAAGTATGAATAATAACATAAATATCAATTCAAATTTTCCTGTGTAAATGTTTATACTCAAGTGGTGGAAGACAACAAATCTATATACATGTATGAGCCGATCATGAACTGTTAAAATTTTAGTGCCTTAACTTTTTATATTTTATCAATTTCTTTACCTTTCGTTTTTTTGGAGTTAATCAATTTGGCAAATATAGTTCATATATCGGTCCTCCTTTCCTATATCGTCATTCTCCTTGGCGACGCTTAAGGGGAAAGGCGGGGGTCTAGGAAAGAGAAGTCCTACAGCGAAGAATAGGAATCCCGGAACCCGGAACGCCGAGAATCCGAGGAAGTCTAGTCGGTGCGGTGCGGTGGTTGGAAATCCGGAAACGGGGGAAACCGGGGGGGGGAGTCGTCGCCATTTTTCCGGGGGAGCCTATTATACTTAATACTGCATATCAATAGTATTTTATAGGATGTGAACCAACAATGAATGAAACATTGTGGGGGGCCTAAAAATATAATTTAGACGTGATAAATATGGATAATTGAATTTTATTTTTCCAAAAATGTTTAATTAAATTTTATTTACTGATATAGTTGGGCTCTACAGTAAAAACTAACATTTATAATGGCATACTGAAGCTTCATAATAATTTATTAAATGTTCGCTTCTCTACCTTATATTATTAGTATATTAGTAATGTTATTTAATTTGATCCTTTTCTTTTTTAATTACTTAATTACATATGTTACATTTGAGACGTACACCGCGGCAGTCAATATGTTAAATATTTCACAGTGACAGGATTAAAGTATTAATTTCTATGAAAATTCATTTAAATTTACAGGATGCTGGATAATTATGACAGGGGTGAGGTGACACCACCACCGGTGAGCAGTTACGGCGGTTCCCCCGGACTCTTGGCACTTCATTCTTCGCTTTATGCGACACCCACGTCGAGGACCTACGACATCGAGTCGAACATCGACGGCAATGACAGTTCCATGCCCATCGATACCCAAATCATTTCGGTACGTGTCGTCTACGTTTGCATCGCGTTCAAGACGCGTTTCTTCGAAACAGGGTCGCGTATATTTTTCTTCATTCATCGAACGTTGTTTCCGTCCGAACGTGACGCGTGCACACCTACGTTCCAGTTGTTTTACAGCGTTCCTCGCCAGCTCCAGTGAAATAAACGGAGAAGAACAGCGCTTTGAACGCGATATTCAACGTTAGCTTATTGCTCTAAAGAGATTTTCTTTCTTTGAATTTGCCAGATTAATTTGCAAGATTTATTTTTCATTATTTTTTCATTGCTATCACTGAATGTGTAATAGTTATTAAATAGGCCTTATAAGGGTGATACGTAATCTTCAGAACAGTGATTGAGTCCAAATTTTGTGCAATAATGAAGAACTCACCGCAATGAGGATTTTAGGACAGCCGGTCATTGCATGAGTGAAGGCTTGCAAAAATTATTTATAAACGGATATTCCAGTGACTCATGTCATGGAACTTCAAGGAAATTTTTGACAGGGGAAAAACCCAAATCCTTCGAACCGATATCTCAAAAGCACAATCAGAGAATGACACGTCCATCTTCGTGTAGACTTTCAGACCAATAGAAACGAAGTTCTCGTTTTAACAGATCCTTATTTTCGAAAACTAAAGTTAGATTTTCTCTAATACATTTCAATTCAGCGTTAACTTCTTCAGTAACTTGATACAGAATAAAATAGGACTATTCCTAGGCTTACGACATACGCATGTGGCTCGGTAATCGTTAAATTTCAGTACCAATGATATTAGTTAATAAAGGTGTACAATTATCAATCATATTATCCTTTCGTTTAGTGTATTTTGTAATTTCAAGGAAATTATTGCAATTCTAAAAATTATTGAATATTCTAAAGTTTTTATCAGATGATTATGTTAATTATTTTAACGCTTTTATTAAATAATTTAGATTTATGATATGTGCTGCGGTTGAAACTTGGACTCCAAAGTCAGTGCTTTTTTACTAGACGAACGGACACTATGATTAATATTGTACGAGAACCCGAAAATATCAGGATAGATGTGTGAAAATTGTCGAGACGGGAATTGTTTCGGTCGGCTCAGAGTAAATTTTAGATATAATTTTTTGTGAATACATACTTCTGTAGGAGAGAGGAGGAAAAGGGCGTTTTCGTCTTGGGATCTGACAACAGACGATTGCTGCCTCAGACACCTATCATACCGCAATTCGGAACTTCTATACATATATTCGAACTGTATGCCAGGCGACCGCTTGCGAGAACACTGTCAAGGATCATCTCGCCGCCACCTAGCGGTCCCCGGCCCGAATTAAAAGCATCCGGGGAGACGAAACCCTCTCTCCCCCTACACTAAACGCCTACGCTTCCAATTGCGAGAATCCCGAGTCGACTGAAATAATTCCCAATCCGATCCGAGTATCAGGTACCCGATATTTTCGAGTTCTCACACCCCTTTACTTTCGAGAACTCTTTACTTTACTCTCGCTTGTTCTTGTCCACTTCCGTAACGCCACCGATTTGCAGAAGTCTTTTTATCCGCCTTCAGTGAATCTATTAGCAAGCGTGTTTAATTATCAAGAAAAGAGGATGAACGATCGTTCGAAGATTCCTCGTCTGATTGATACTTAAATATTTCAGATACCGGGAATGTTAAGCGGTCCGGCGCAACAGCGGCTGGAGGACATGTCTTGGCTGGCTTCCGGCCCGTCTCTGGAATATCAACAAGGCATCTCACCGATTCCTGCTGGGGTGAAGATGTGCCATCCTGGCAGTACAGCCCAGAGAAGCCTGAAGGAGCAGCGGATACGTCGTCCGATGAACGCCTTCATGGTCTGGGCAAAGGTCGAGCGCAAGAAATTGGCCGACGAGAATCCTGATCTCCACAATGCCGATCTCAGCAAGATGCTTGGTAAGTTCACATTCAGGATATCTTTTTTATATAATGTTGTATGTATCTTGATCTGTTTCTTTCAATCTGTAAGTACATGTATTTGAATTGATCATACATTCGTGATCACTTAATTTTCAGCAACTATTTATTCCTGCGATTATACTTTTCAACATTAACATAACTAGGGCTTTTATATATCTGGTCTGATCTTTTAGCTTTATTTAACATTATTCGGTATTTAATATCGTTAATCCTAACTGAATTTTTCAGAATCTTAGAATTTTTTAATCAGTCAACAATTAGTTATACCCTTGTTTTCAAGTTAATACTGAAACTTTTAAACTTATCAATAGGATGGTTTTAACATTTCTTGTTTAAAAATAATTAGCATAGTACTGGTATCTTTTATAAAAAATTATAGTAAAACGATTTTCAACCCTCTTAAGACAATGAACTTTATGTACATCAGCGTACATCCCGAAATGTTAAATCAAATAATAAATAGTCAATTATTTATTTTATTTTATATCACGCGTATAGCTGAAAATAAAATTATAAGCATTAGATTCTTAAAATGAAAATTAAATTTCGATTTAAAACATTATTTTATTTGAACTTTGTAGAATCTAATGATTAACCCTCGGACGGCGGACCATGGAGAGAGCCACAATTTTAATGGAATTTTGTACGTGATATTATTTTTGCTTTCTAAAGTTTATACTGTTTCTTTAAAAATTATTGTATATGGTTTGTAAGGTTGGGTTATTATTGACCAAGGCTCCGTTGTTTAAGGGTTAAATAGCATTTGAAATATTTATTTTCTGAATTTTACGTAGCTCTGTAACGGTGGTACTTATAAACTGAAACCGATTGCTTCCTTTTTTCAGTCGGTTTTAATTTTACATTTAAAAATAAACAATTGTCGCGTGACCTTGGTATCAAACATGAATTATTCCCAACAAGCATAAAGATATTCCTGTCGTTTCATATTGAACTTTAGCGAGCAAAGGATCATTGTTGGATGTAATCGAAAAACAGCGATGACGATGGAAGGCTCAATCTCGGTTGGCTTCCAATCGCGCGTATATGCCTTTTAATATTAATGCAGCAACGTTGGCACCTACGTAAGGAAGCGAATACACTCGAAGTCGAGACGGTGAATTTACGACGTATTAAATTGCGCTACTCGATATCTTTGTAATTTTCTCGTACAGGCATAAAACTGGCTGCTTACGACTCGGCGAATCTTATTGTCAGCCGGAAGGATTTGACGTTCTATCTTTAAACCACTAATTAAAACGATCGAAATAACAGGAGGTTCTAGCTATAATTTTATTTACCGTCTTTCGCGGATCTTTATTTCTTCATTCTAGTTTCGATGAAACTATACACGTTTCTACTCATCGCAATTTGAAATACTCCAATCCACATGGAAGCTCCTAAACACAAAAAATAAAACAAATTTTTCAGCTTACTTCAGGATCTAAGAAAATGAAACAGATTTTTTAGTCAAAATGATCAGTACTATTTTCAATAATTCTAATCTTACAATAGGCACATAGTTTTTTTTTACCAAATATAGGGCGCATTGGTTTGAGACCTATTAAAATGTGTTATTTTTTATGTCAAAACAATTAACTAGAACAATGATGAACACTAAAATATTCGTCCATTCTGTCATTAAGAAGGCCACCCTAAGAGACCTCAAAATAATAAATAATTTAAAAAGCCATTTCCTTGAAAAATATAAAATACAAAAAAATATGTTTTCATAGAATTTTATAAAATGAAATCTTATCCACAATTTTAAATATTAAGAAATGAAAAAAGAAATAAAATGGCGATGCAGGAGCTGGAATAACAGATTACAATACTTGATACAGACTTTCGTCGTATAAACTGTATCAACAAATTATAGTATTTTATTTTTATTTAAAGCAAAATATGTATGCTTAACTGTTTGATATCTATATTAAAATTAACTGTAAGTTGTATATGTGTTTCATAATCTCAACTTTAAAAGCATTGATATAAAGATTTTTTCTGGGTTGGGGTTAGGTCCTCCAGAAATTAAAAAATTCTGGTATTTTGAAATATTGAAAATTTGAAATTTTAGAATGGTGAGAGGGCAAGTGAGAGGCAATATTTAGAAACTGTTTAAATAGTATATAATCTTATAAAATATCGTTTCAAGTTCTAAATCTGTCATTAAAGAATGAACTTTCTTTATAAGTAATTTAAACTATTGTTATTATACTTACCGACTGATTGATAATTACTTCATTATTTCTGAATTAAATTAAGTGTATTATATAGACATCTTTTAATAAGAGAAAGAGCGGCCTTCTTAACAAAGAAAATTCACTGACAAAGGCACTGATTAATTCCTGCGTTTTCTCCCCATTCGGTTCTCCATTCACGTGACGAGTAATTAAATTAATAATGTCGGTACAAAGAGAATTTTCCGACTTTCTTATTCCCAGAGCTGTTTCGCGACTACTTTCAAGAGAAAAAGCTTTTTATACAATTCTTTTAACGAATATTGACGATTTTTTCTATCCTTATAATCTTAAATCTCAATCTGCTGATACAGTGGTACCTCGGTATACGACCTTAATCCGGTTCTGATGTTTGGACTTATACCGAATAGGACGTATTTTCTGATATTCTTACTTGTATGATCAGTCAGTTATAATATAATTGATTATTAATTTAATTTTGTCTCTGAGATAATTATTTAAAAATGACGCAAAATTCACAGAAAAAGTTTATGTCGTATGCCGAACAGAAGTCGTATATCGAGCAAAATTTGTCACCTCCAAACAGAACGTATTCCGAATTGAACGTATTCCAAAGCAGACGTATACCGAGGTACCACTGTACCTATATTACTATCTAATTATTATTATCATCGTACTAAATATTACATATAAAAAATTATCATCTTAAATTGAAAAACTAAATAATTATATTTCTACTAACGGTTACTATAGTGTATCTACTGTATCTATGTTATTGAATATATGGGCAATTTTATGGAGACAGCCGAGGCGTTATTGTGCTCTTTGATATTACGTGAGATATTAATATTTGTAATTAAGTCCAAAAGTATTTCATATGCATCGCAATATGATACATTAAAAATTGGTCACAATTAAAGGATTCATAATTTTCTAAATTTTCTTTGAAATATTTGTTCATACAGAAACTGATTTGTCTAGTTGGTTACCTTATTATTATCTTTTGCAGTTTTTCGAATATTACACATATAACATACATATCACCTCAGATAATAACAAGTATCATAAATTTCCAGGGTGAATCCCATTTTTAAAATTCAGTTAATTAATTATCTCAATATGTTATAAGAAAAAAGTTTATTTCATTGACCCTCGGTCGGCAGACTATGGAGAGAGAGCAACAGTTTTAATTTAATTTTGTGTTTGAAGCTTATAAATTAGGGTTAAGATTAACCCAAGCTCTGCTGTTCAAGGGTCTACGTACATCAAGATAATTTACAAAGAAAGTTCGGCAGAAATTTTGGAAGACGTTAACAACTAAATCATTTTTTATTTCGATAATGAAATGATAGTAGATATGGGATAAAAAATTGAATTTGCGATAATATGCAAACTGGGAATTTCGACGGGAGGGGGAGGGCTCGATTCATTGTTGCAAAAATGGCAAATATTCAAATTCTGCTTTTAGTGTTCCACTTGCTTAAAAGCAATATAATAATTAAAATATCTTAAGAGATTAAATACTTATAAATAATTTGTAACCTTGATGAATGCCTTTATCAAGGGTTCTATCAAGGGTTGAGAAATAATTAAAAAGAAAAAACGAGGAGCGAGATCAAACATTCTTTATTATTTATGGGATAACCTAATGCTTCACAAAGAAATCAAAACCAACGTCTTCGTAAAAGACTCTTTGGTGTATGTAGGTTGTTGGAAACGGCGCGAACAAGATGCGCCGAAACGTGGCGCGTTTAAAAGAGCCTCGGCGTCGAAGAGTGCTTGTACCGGTACCCGCCAATCTGTCAGCGTCGTGGCCGTGCGTTATATCGTGGGTTGGTACACCTTGAATTATCGGCAATTGGCATCCGCAACGTTACAGGCATTCGAACGAGCGTCGTGCAGAAAATTGTAAACTCTACTCGTGTGTTAGCCACCTACCCGTGCCAGTTTTAGCACGGCCATTCGCGCGTGTCTTCGTATACGGCACACGCTCCCTTACCTCCTCTTTATTCTTTTCTTCTTTGATTCCTCCTATCGATCTCTTCATGTATATTTTCAACCTTCTTTACATTCGTTCCAATCTTAAATATTCATTTTCAAGATTTTTCAATCTTCTCTCACTTGATTCTTTCTTTATATCAATCACTTCGTATATATCTTCAATCTTCTCTTCGTTCCTTTCAATTTTGAATATTCATTTTGAACATTTTCCTCTCCTTTCTTTTTCTTTCATCCTTTCTTCTTGTACATCTCCAATCGTCTTTTCATACATTTCCATTAAATATTTATTTTGAAAATCATTCGATTCTTCTGTGATTCTTCATATTTATCTCTTCATATGCATCTCAATCTTCAATATTTGTTTTGAGAATTTTTTGTATTGAAAAGAAATTTATTAACCCGTGAACAGCGGAATTTGTGTCAATTGAGACCTAAAGTTGCAGAATCTAAAATTAAATGTATAATTTTTAAACGAATGGGCTTTATATACATATTGGAAGAATAATTTCTAGAATAATTTTCTAATGATATGAGATATACAAAATTAAATTAAAGTTGAGACTCTCTCCATGGTCCGCTGTCCGAGGGTTAACAGTAGAACTACAAGCGTTCGATCCGTATTTATTTTCAAGCTGAAAATCAAATAACAAGTAATTGAATAAAGGATAAATCATAAATTAACATATGTACACAATTATTCTTTATCTCAACAGAAGTTAAGGTTTCCACAGAAAGCCGTTTATAATTATTGTAATGTAAAATAAGAAATCTATGACC